TCTGATCCACGGTGCTGAGAAACACACACACACACAATGATAAGCTTGTCAACAACAGAGAGTATCAACCTAAACGGAAGAATATCTGAAAGTGAAGATAAAGCAATGGTGGCAACAACATACCATTATGGGTACTGCAAAGAACACAACATACCATTATGGGTACTGCAAAGAAGACAACTTACCATCATGGGTACTGCAAAGAACATGTCATTATGGGTACTGCAAAGAACACAACATACCATTATGGGTACTGCAAAGAACACAACATACCATCATGGGTACTGCAAAGAACACAACTTACCATCATGGGTACTGCAAAGAACACATCATGGGTACTGCAAAGAACACAACATACCATTATGGGTACTGCAAAGAACACAACATACCATTATGGGTACTGCAAAGAACACAACATACCATTATGGGTACTGCAAAGAACACAAACCATCATGGGTACTGCAAAGAACACAAACCATCATGGGTACTGCAAAGAACACAAACCATCATGGGTACTGCAAAGAACACAAACCATCATGGGTACTGCAAAGAACACAAACCATCATGGGTACTGCAAAGAACACAAACCATCATGGGTACTGCAAAGAACACAATCATGGGTACTGCAAAGAACACAAACCATCATGGGTACTGCAAAGAACACATGTCATTATGGGTACTGCAAAGAACACAACTTACCATCATGGGTACTGAAAAAACACAAGTGCACATTTAGTCAAATTCTCTAACAGATCACTGACTAATATATTCAAATTTTGGCCACAGGACCTGAATTCCTTACACCTAGATGCACATAAAAAAAGCGCTAAACCTACAAGGGTCATACAACACCTAGATGTACATTTTAAGTATATCTCACTAACAAACACTGACATACTGAATATATCAAATTCTGGAATACAGTAAATCCTCACTTAACGTCGTTTCGTTATAACGTTGGAAAAAACAGATTCCCATCCGGGGCCACTATCTGTGTAGTTTCCATGATGTTGAACTGCCTGGTGCTAGGTGGTGCTCTTTACAATTCTCACTTTGCAAACATTTATTCCTTGATTTAGCCCTGTTGCAATGAGTGTTGAAAGCGCACTGTGCACCTCTGCTGTTTATTTCAATTAGCCTATGGTAAAATTTGTTTCGTTATACGTCGTTTTGCTTAAAGTCGCAGTTTCCAAGAACCTATCAAAGACGTTAAGTGAGGACTTACACTATTATAAATTATAAGCATCAGTGCTATCAACTGCCTTAATGGAGTATGTAATCTTTAATTTTTACGATATGACGCAAGGTACGTGAGCACTAAACGTTAATATTTTACATAAAGGGAAATTAGAGCCGTGGGGGTCATACAGCTGTAGGGGCAAGAAATTCAATCAGATTCGACCCAAGGGAGAGAGGGAAAACTCAAATTCCTTAGATCAAGAGCCTTAACCAGCATCAAAGTGAAGGTTTTGATGTTAGTGTGAATGATGAACCATTTATGTTGAGAGACGTCAACACCACCAGCACCAACAACCATCACTACCCTCAACCTCTACCAGCACCACAAGAATCACCGCCATCATTACCAGCACCAATACTACCACCATTACCAGCACCAACACTACCACTATTACCAGCACCACCACCACCACCATTACCATCATCATTACCAGCACCACCACCATTACCATCACCATCATTACCACCACCATTACCATCATCTCTGACAAACAGTTCAAGGACATCACTGCCTCAACAACACTACTCTCACCTAAGCACTCACCTCAAACTTCTATTAATTACGTTATCGACGTTCAAAGGATTGTACCTCATTAACGCTGCATAATATGCCGCGCCACACTTACCACCACTTTCTTCTCTAGTTCACTAGAGCGTTGTTCGATTTTAAGGGATGGAGAACAGAGCCTTCACTATACCAGGTGCTCGAGCTTAACAGGATTTAACTGTTCACATATAATAATAACCATACGTTAATGCTTAATTTAGCATATACGCAAATGACAACCGCCAGACTTCAATGATTTTCTGGTAAGAAAATGATCGTGTAAACCTGTTCTTTTGTATTGTGTTATACCAGCAACTTACCTTCCTCTCATAATAAGTTGTGTGTATTGTACCAGCAACTTACCTTCCTCTCATAATAAGTTGTGTGTATTGTACCAGCAACTTACCTTCCTCTCATAATAAGTTGTGTGTATTGTACCAGCAACTTACCTTCCTCTCATAATAAGTTGTGTGTATTGTACCAGCAACTTACCTTCCTCTCATAATAAGTTGTTGTGTATTGTACCAGCAACTTACCTTCCTCTCATAATAAGTTGTGTGTATTGTACCAGCAACTTACCTTCCTCTCATAAGGAAAGAATTCACGCTACCACAAATTATTATGAATCTAAAATGCTACGGAACATTCCCCCTCCTATTCCCCCCCCCCCTCACACAAACTGCAAAACAAGCTTTCATTAAGACAATGTTTTGCTCGTCTAGAGTTCGTGAAGTTCAGAGATGACCGCTGCATCACAGGAAGGTCGGTCTTCACCGTGCATCATGCCTGGAGAGACACCATCCCTGGGAGACTGGTCTTCACCGTGCATCATGCCTGGAGAGACACCATCCCTGGGAGACTGGTCTTCACCGTGCATCATGCCTGGAGAGACACCATCCCTGGAGACTGGTCTTCACCGTGCATCATGCCTGGAGAGACACCATCCCTGGGAGACTGGTCTTCACCGTGCATCATACCTGGAGACACACCATCCCTGGGAGACTGGTCTTCACCGTGCATCATGCCTGGAGAGACACACCATCCCTGGGAGACTGGTCTTCACCGTGCATCATGCCTGGAGAACACCATCCCTGGGAGACTGGTCTTCACCGTGCATCATCCTGGAGAACACCATCCCTGGGAGACTGGTCTTCACCGTGCATCATACCTGGAGACACACCATCCCTGGGAGACTGGTCTTCACCGTGCATCATGCCTGGAGAGACACCATCCCTGGGAGACTGGTCTTCACCGTGCATCATGCCTGGAGAGACACCATCCCTGGGAGACTGGTCTTCACCGTGCATCATGCCTGGAGAGACACCATCCCTGGGAGACTGGTCTTCACCGTGCATCATACCTGGAGAGACACCATCCCTGGGAGACTGGTCTTCATCGTGCATCATACCTGGAGACACCATCCCTGGGAGACTGGTCTTCACCGTGCATCATACCTGGAGACACCATCCCTGGGAGACTGGTCTTCACCGTGACATACCTGAACACCATCCGGAGACTGCTTCACGTGCATCATACCTGGACACCACCGGAACTGGTCTTCACCGTGCATCATACCTGGAGACACCATCCCTGGGAGACTGGTCTTCACCGTGCATCATACCTGGAGACACCATCCCTGGGAGACTGGTCTTCACCGTGCATCATACCTGGAGACACACCATCCCTGGGAGACTGGTCTTCACCGTGCATCATACCTGGAGAGACACCATCCCTGGGAGACTGGTCTTCACCGTGCATCATACCTGGAGACACCATCCCTGGGAGACTGGTCTTCACCGTGCATCATACCTGGAGACACCATCCCTGGGAGACTGGTCTTCATCGTGCATCATACCTGGAGAGACACCATCCCTGGGAGACTGGTCTTCACCGTGCATCATGCCTGGAGACACACCATCCCTGGGAGACTGGTCTTCACCGTGCATCATGCCTGGAGACACACCATCCCTGGGAGACCGGTCTTCACCGTGCATCATGCCTGGAGACACACCATCCCTGGGAAACTGGTCTTCACCGTGCATCATACCTGGAGACACACCATCCCTGGGAGACTGGTCTTCACCGTGCATCATCCTGGAGACACACCATCCCTGGGAGACGGTCTTCACCGTGCATCATACCTGGAGACACACCATCCCTGGGAGACTGGTCTTCACTCGTGCATCATCCTGAGACACACCATCCCTGGGAGACTGGTCTTCACCGTGCATCATACCTGGAGACACACCATCCCTGGGAGACTGGTCTTCACCGTGCATCATACCTGGAGACACACCATCCCTGGGAGACTGGTCTTCACCGTGCATCATACCTGGAGACACACCATCCCTGGCAGACCAAGTGTTGCAGTAGACACCAGGGACACACTGCTGCACTACGCTACACTGAACTTAAATATTTCATCAGTTTACCTAAATATCCCCACACTCCCTCACACGGTACACATCTACTAGACCAGTGATTCTCAACCAGAGGTAAATTTACCCCTTAGGGGTAAAAAATTACATGGCGAGGGGTAAATATTTGATGAAAAAAACTTGAATAACTTATTTTTTCTGACCTTGCTTTTTCTGTCCCTTTATGATGGCGATAAATTTTTTGTATGGACGGGGGTAAATGGAGAAATATATCAAGCCGAGGAGGTTAATGGTGGATGAAAAGTTGAGAATCCCTGTACTAGACCTATTTACAGTAAGTGTATATTTATGGCCTTCAAATTCAGTGCTAGTGGGAAAAACTTTCAACCTTGTGGATAAAGAACTTAAAAGAACATTAGGTAAAGAAAGAAGGTACGTATCCCTTATGCACTAAGATGCTTTAAATACACGGGTCACTCACTCGGATTTAAGGGAACCAGTTTTGGAAATATTTGATGAAGCGCTAAACCTAAATGGGTCATTTAGCGTCTGGGGAAGGGAACAAGGTTGGATACGAGGAAGGGGAGGGTGGCTTCAGTTCCTCGGATCAAGCATGTTTCACCAGCATCAAAGCATCCTCCACTTGAAGCTGTGCTGATCCCTGAGGTGTTTACCTGCGTCATGCCAACACTTCACTGACAGTAAACATGTTGACTCAAAATCGTATAAACACGATTGCAGACAAACCACTGAACTCGCCATGGGTTCAATCCCCATCCGTTCCGTGGTTGGTACAGATGTTAGCGACAGTAATACACTGATACAGTGATACTTACATGTGACTGTCCAGCAGAGTCTAGTATCTCTAACGCCAGCGTTTCTCCGTCAATGACAGCCATGTGTGGGTAGATCCGCTCCAGGCATGGGTCATACTCCCCGATATACCTCCTGGTGATATATCTTACTACCAAAGCTGCAGGGAGAACAGAGGGGAGAAGATGGGAGGTTAGTAGGAGACAAGTGTGAGGGGAGGCCAATCTAATACTAGTTTTCTCCTCTAAACTCTTAGTAGTCTCACAGCACTTGGGAAATGGCAGGTAATTAGAGGATGGTAGCTGCAAATCCTTAGAACTAGAGCACTTCAACATAAAGGTACCTTCCTAGAAGGTAACTAGTGATAAGGTTAGAAGTTTCAATCACTACGTTATAATGGTGAAAAAAGGGTCCTGAACCTTGTGTAATGACGTCTCTAATTTGTGGGAGAGTTAGTCAAGTTTCTTTATTGGAGTTTAAATTATTTTCTGGCTAACTCTGGCATTTACTACCCTTCAACAAAGTAATCACACCTCTCCAAAGGTGATATAACAGTACTAAAGTGATGCAATAAAGCAGTGGTGACAAAATAAAGACGTTAATAAAGAAAAATTGAGAGCGAAGATGACAAAGAAAATGGATCAAGAAAGTCATGGATTGATTTCCTACTTTGGTCACAATGGGCCCTTATCCGGCGTCTACCACAATCTTGTGGAGATAGGGAGCTGGAGACAATTATTTGTGGTTATAACCTTCGCAAACTTGAGAGGAATAAAATATGATCTTTCAGGAAGAAAAAAAAAAAAAGCTAAGCTCAACGTCTCGTGAAGCTATAATCAAAAAAGCCGCACTTGGAGACTGGTTAAGAGGTCAGTGTGACTGGTTAATGGTCCGAGTCAGACCAAAACGTCATCACAAGTTTCAGACTCCTTAGTGCGGGTTATTTGCGTATTCCAGCCACGATATTTTGCGACCTTATTCTCGTGCTTCTGGTCTGAAACTAGACAACGAGGCAGTTAACATCTAACTCCAGATCCTTTCAACTGAAGGTTCGACTTGGCTTTGGGCTGCGTTAGTGCCAATTTATCGAGTTCTACTGAACATGGGTAAGATCTCCCCTCCCTTCCCAATTCCTAGCTTCCATTCTCTAGCTTCTTACATTTCAAGGCTACTAATATTTCTTGCTAGGTCTTCCTGCTGACGAGTGAAGATCCAATATAAAATTTATTTATAGGCGACATTCTAAGTTAGAGGACTTCAAGGATGTTGTGGCGAACTTTTTTCCACACGAGTGCTGTTGTTGTCACTCTCAGACACTACCGCCGGCACTCGTGTCGCCACGAGCTCAGTGCCAGTATTGACCCTATTACCAGTATCATAACATCGTCACGAGTACCAGACACGTGAAACACCTGAGTATCAGGTGTTGCCCACGTGTACTTCATGCTGGTATTGTTTACCATTTTTTGTAATGATATAAGTACCAGTGTCATTGCTGATACCAGTACCTGTACCAGCACTGGCACTATTACTAGTATCATTTACAGAACCGGCACCAGTATCACTGCCAATACTAGCACCTGTATTGATTCAAGTTCCCTTACTTCCGGAAAGCCCTAAACCCGTTAAGGGTCATGCAGGACCGAGTTAGGTTCAAAGCTTATCGACTTGACGTGGATAATTACGTCCTCATTTCACGAGTGTTCTAACAGTTAGCAAGACTAATACCTATATTAAATTATTATATCCACAGAGAGGTATAAACATAAGGACGGAGGGACACACACACACACACACACACACACACACACACACACACACACACCCCAGAGCTAATATGAGTGACCAGAGAGCCATAACTTCCGTCTAGAGGTTAATATATAATCTCCTGCAGACTATTTATTACTTAAGAGGGGCTGTGGTGCTCCGTTAGTGTGTGGCACCAGCACCAACAGCCAGACTGATCAGGGTTATCGCCCGGTCTCCTGGAGTGAGACTAGCTCGCGGCGGCCATGATCCAAAGAAACTTCTATATCTTACACATTTAATTCTTGAACAAAATAACTTGAGAAAAGAACTTTACATGGACCTAGAAAACTCACCTTTACTAATGAAGGAATTTTAGACAAGAGGAACCCAGAAAAATTTGAACTCTCTTCTAAAGGATCCCAATGGAAATAAGTCACCCTGATGTTTTGGGTTCTCCTAGGTTCTCTGCTATGTATGATAATCTATGTAACTATTTGTGTATACCTGAATAATCTTAAGTGTTAATATCTGTGAGGTAATAAAGTGTGATAGTTCATTTTTACACATGCTAATACACCTTTGGTGAGTTTTTAAATAGGATAATTACTATTCATATTAGGTACTATCTGGGAAGCCCATAACGTGTATATCATTTCTGATCAGAACTAAAGCTGTTATAAGACCTTAGAGAAAATAAAACCCATAATACTGATGCTTATATTACTGACAATATCGAGTCGAGAAACTTCGATGCGCTGGTGATGAATCTGAGCTGGTCTAGCCTAACACGTGGTCTAGCCTAACACGTGGTCTAGCCTAACACGTGGTCTAGCCTAACACGTAACATCTATGAAGTCTTATCATCAATACTTTGCTTATTTATGATTGAAGAACCACATGATGTAGGTTACCTGACAATCAGATATATTATGAATAGATATTAAGTGTGGTGCATGCAATGATAATACAAACTATATTAACAAATTCATGGTGTGCGCGTGCATTATATATATATAACATTATATTATTATAATTATAATATATTATATATATATATATATATATAATATAATATAATATATTATAATATATTATATATATTATATATATATGTCGTGCCGAATAGGCAGAACTTCCTATCTTGGCTTAAATAGCAACGCACATCTTGCCATATAGGACAAGCGAAAATTTGTGTATGCAATAATTTCGCCAAAATCATTCTGAACCTAACGAAAAAAATATATTTCACTGTGTTTGTTTAGTATTAAATTATTGTAAACAAATCTAAAATATATGTAGTTGGGTTAGGCTAAAATAAACTGTTCTTGTTATAATAAGGTTAGATAAGTTTTCTAAGATTCTTTTGGTGCAAAATTTAAAAATTTTACATTAACATTAATGAAAAAAATATATCTTTAAACGTATAAGAGAAAATTTTAGAAAGGACTTAATTTTAAATGAGTTCTTGCTAACTGACCAGTTTTACATATTCGGCACGACATATATATATAAAGTACAGAAAAGTTGACAGCAGTAGATATGTGAAGACTATGTAATCAGTCCATCACCTTTCAAGACGTAGTTTTGAGATGGTCATCATCTAGGGTGTTCCACCCAGTGTAGACTGACATACAAGAGCGGGCCAGTCACCCACACAGAAATAACAAATTTCCATACAATCATACAAACATTTAAATCACAGTTTTCAGGCTTTTTCACTTGTGTTGAGTATGGCTCTCCTGCACCAGTGTCCAGCAGTAGTCAGATATCAAACCTATCAGATTTCCCGGATACATTTTCTCTGTGGTGGCTGTCTTAGGGAAGTCGTTCACCATGGGTTTCTATTTCAGTGTCCCAAAACTAGTTAGAAACAGGTTTTTAGACGTAAACTGAAAGCATTGTTGGCCAGAGTAATCAATAATACTGATACTTGGGTCATTTCTTAAAATATTGATAATTATGATAATATACATGCAAGTGTAACTGCTACAAAAGAAACTACAATCTGCTGAATTCATTATATTACACAGTACCTCTGTTCAAATCCCTGTCCATTTCACTGTTTATTCGACGACATCGTTCATCGCAGATTGCACGGAAAGGGAGTCCGTCTCGTGCAGTGTCTCAAATTTAACCTACCCAACATCTCCCCCAGACTCCACCCTATATATACACCCAAGTAGATCAGTTTGTGCCTGGTATGGGGAACCCGTTTAACTGAAAAAACGAAGATTTTGAGCATACAGTACCTGGGAGAACTGGAGGTAATCATATTTGATCCAAGAAAGAGGAGAGTAGCTACAGTTCCTCGGATCGACAAGTCCTTCGCCAGCCTCTAGGCTTCCCTCTTGAAAGTTAAATATGGAGTTACTCTAGTGATAGCAGATTGTAGTTACTCTAGTGGTAGTAGTATTTTTATTGTAGTTACTCTAGTGGTAGTAGTATATACTTGTTCCAGTTTATTGAAACGATCATAATTTTCAAAAATATGACTAAATTATTTGTCGATTTTGTACTGAAATTCGTTCTACCATACACGACGACTGATGCAAGATTAGCATGCTAACCTTCCTAGTCTGAATCTTAAGCCAACATGGTAGAGTGGTTAGTAAACTGGCCTCAGTTTTAATACGCTTGCCATGGACTCACGAGTCGAGTTCACTACTAATATATGTCAATGTATTCTTGTCTTCCCCTCGTTAAGCCTACGGAGAGGACCTACCTGACTTGCCGACGCCAGACTGTCCCAGAACCAGGATCCTGAGAGGCCGGGGTCGTCCCAGTCCTATCTTGCTGAGTGCTGATTTAGGAGATTTTGGTGATGACATCTCTGGCTTAGCTTCTTCACGTTCGTGTTTACTGTTGGCCACCACAACCAGGACCTTCTATATCCGAACTTCCACCCCCTCAGCGCGTCCAGTAGGCAAGATAGTGATGAAATGTTTCTTGCACTGTTAGGGTGTTAACAAGAAACTAGTGAAATTCTTTATTAATATGGACTCATCAGTCCATGCTAATAATAATAATAGAAGCTTGTTTAAGTTAAACACCGGACTTCATACACTACAGAACAAAGTACTGAACATTAACACTGGATTCAATCAATACTTTTCATACTGTAATCTCTATTCTCAGCTCGCGTAGAATTCCCTTCACAAGTGTTTACTGCAGCAGTCCTGGAATCCCACCGCCTTCAAAGATACTGACAAATGTTTTGAACCACAAATCTTTGTTTACGTGCGTCTCATCCCTCACCAAACTGAGGGATGCAGGAGGAGCCTTAATGCTGACCTCCATAAGGCTTACCTGACAGCCTTACATTCTAGTTAGTGATCAGTGTCTGTGCATTCGAGTCTGCTGACATGCTGTATTTCTGAAAAAAAAAAAAAAAGAATGCATTAAACATTTTTTGTGAAAATGGAAAAAAAAATGTAATTATGCAGATGTTAAGCAAAATTTAACTAAAATGGATTAAAATGGATTATGAAATGCGGAGTCCCACATAAGTCATAAATTACAACATTAATAAATTGCGAATTTATCTGGTCGCAAAATACTCTACACATTAAGCACTTCATAATTGTTCCGGGTGTTAAATCTGCCAAAATCGAGTAAAGTTGCAGCGAGGAGGATGCCAAAAGAGCAAAAGAGAATTTGAAGTGTAGAAATTAGAACACTATGTGGGGGTTATAAAAGGTATTCAAAGGGCAGAGGAGCTCAGGTTGTTTGGGCATTTAGAGGATATTGCAGAATAGGATGACCAGAAGGGTGTATAAACCCTGGATGGAGAGGAGGGTAGGTGTCATCCCAGAAGTGATTAAGGATGGTCCGTTACCATCAGAATAGTGGATTCCAAACGATCGTAGAGGGGACGGTTGAGGAACCTTGGATAGAGCGGACAGTCTGACAACCCTGTGGGCTGGAGTTGCCACCAGATGGCGGGCAGGTGGTCTAGGCCTTGTGACAGGAATTACCAAATGCTGGTATAGCATGCTTGCTGTTTAGGAATTTAAGTGGTAACTGCTTTAACAGGCAGCAGGCATGTGCCGTGCATGTTAGTTTAATATGTTTATTATGCACCCCATACCCATCCTGTGGGCGGTAGTCAAAAGATTAGAGGTACATAATGGGTCCAGGCTCAAGAAATCGTAATGGTCTAGTGGCTAACGCGACGGGCTGGAGTTTTGAGACTATGACCGCGGGTTCAATCCCGGCCGGGGGTATGGTTTATGGGTCCAGGGACTGGACTCCAAACATGTTAGATGAGGGTGAATAGATACACCGTTTTAAGAGTCTGACGTGCTGCTGGAGTGTCAGTAAGGCAGCATTTCTGAAGGTATTCAGGTCGGTTGGACTAGTCCTAATGGTAAGAAAATACAGTAACTGCTTTCTGGAGGGGTGGGGATGTTGTCCGGAGGCTCATTTGAATTGTGTTGTCGACTATTGAAGGAATGATGCTAAATATTTTTTTTTATATACGTATTTTTTTTTTTGGGGGGGGGGGGGGGGTCACCCTACCGAATAAAAAAAATAACTTTTCAGATCAAAATTTACTGTTGGTCAAACAGCAAGGTCATGCAGCTGCACCACCACCACCACCACGAGATATACCACTAAAAACATTAAATATCGTCATCAATGGCATAAGCCGACAAGAGGCAATTTTAAAAGGCACATTTACCAGGGAAGACTATACGAGGTTCCACGTAGAAGACCCCACAATGGTGCTTCATCAAGTACCACCGAGGGTCAAACTTCCTATAATACAGGTTTTCCCCATCTAAAGCCCTCTAGCATTCTTATATCCGGCACTGGACTTCTTGGTTACTTTAAAACGTCATCAATGTCAGGAACTATCGCTCTCAGACTGGCTGCAACAAGCGTGTGGAGCAGCCTCTCAACCTGGAATAATTATAATAATCAAAATCAACCTGGAATAAAAAGTTGTAGTGTACGACCAAGTGCTTCTCACATTCAAGACCACTGCGCCTAACACAATAAGAGAGAAATTCATGATGTCGCTTAACTTGGCTAAAAAGCTATAAATACTCCTGGTCCAGATTAAAACAGGAAAAACAAACATACGAACTTGGTGTAACACGTACCGGAAAACTACAAGTACCATACCGGCTCTTTGGACCGTTCAGGGAATATTTTTCATTATTTTTAAATAAATATATACTAGCATACAAATGTATTAATATATTGATGAAAGACAGTTTTAGACAATATTTACATATATAAATGCATGCAAATAGTTATAAAATTGCAAAAATAAATCAGAAATTGCACGAAATCTTTAAATTATATATTTATCTAAATTTCTCAAGTGAAGGACGGGTAGGCCAGTGGAAGGCCTCGATCAGGTGACCAAAAGTTCCAGTGGCAGGTCATCATATGACAGACCCGCGTCAGTGGAGCCTGTTTCATGAATAATCTTGCCTGTCAAAAAAATTATATGCATCAATAAAAGGAGTTTAGACAAATTAGACACATGTGCAACTCTTGGGTATCTTTACTGAGGAAACGTTTCGCCACACAGTGGCTTCATCAGTCCATACAAAGGAGAATCGTGAAGAACAGGAGGAGAATGAGAATGAGGTAATCAGTCCCTCAACCTTGAGTCGATGTGGTCTGTCCATCAATCTTCACCAGCGTCAAGGACCATTTAGGTACTCTCTGCATGACGTTCAGACAACCGCGGGAACTAAGAAGCCAGGAAGACCATTCAGCCTCTCGCTTCATGACGTTTCCTACATATCAAGCCCAAAACACTGCGATGCCCTCAAATAACGTGATAAACAATATAGCCTGGAACCACTGTCCAATCTTGCTGGAGTCGAGGTTCGCCTGTAAGTTGTGCTCCACACGTGACAGCATCCATGACTGTAAATGAGTGTGCCAGGTGTGCAAGGTCACATACTGCCTCTCTCACAACCAGTAACCGCTTAATATCCTTCATACATTGCCTGGAGTTTACCGGGAGTTCCGGGGGTCAACGCCCCCGCGGCCCGGTCTGTGACCAGGCCTCCTGATCAACCAGGCTGTTGCTGCTGGCTGCACGCAAACCAACGTACGAGCCACAGCCCGGCTGATCAGGAACTGACTTTAGGTGCTTGTCCAGTGCCAGCTTGAAGACTGCCAGGGGTCTGTTGGTAATCCCCCTTATGTATGCTGGGAGGCAGTTGAACAGTCTCGGGCCCCTGTCACGTGCTAGTGACACCCCTGCTTTTCATTGGGGGGATGTTGCATCGTCTGCCAAGTCTTTTGCTTTCGTAGCGAGTGATTTTCGTGTGCAAGTTCGGTACTAGTCCCTCTAGGATTTTCCAGGTGTATATAATCATGTATCTCTCCCTCCTGCGTTCCAGCGAATACAGGTTTAGGAACCTCAAGCGCTCCCAGTAATTGAGGTGTTTTATCTCCGTTATGCGCGCCGTGAAGGTTCTCTGTACATTTTCTAGGTCAGCAATTTCACCTGCCTTGAAAGGTGCTGTTAGTGTGCAGCAATATTCCAGCCTAGATAGAACAAGTGACCTGAAGAGTGTCATCATGGGCTTGGCCTCCCTAGTTTTGAAGGTTCTCATTATCCATCCTGTCATTTTTCTAGCATAATTCTTTTCTAACACATTCCCATAATTGATGCACTAAATTAGTTTATTACTTTATTCCATGAAATCTGCAGTCATTTGCAATACTAAATTTGTCATAGCTATTTTCGTGTATTTTTTATAACAGTGTATTGATATTTTTATCAAATATTAACAAAGTTCTTTACTAAACACAATGTAAAAAATTCTCACATGCAAAATGCATCATATTTCGAAATGTACAACAGATGGAAAAACGTTGAAGAGCAAAACATGTCTTAGAAAGAGCTAAATAATCACGTTTAAAAAGGATTTAGAAATCCATCCTTAAAATTCATGCTGAATATTAAATGCCAGTGTCCAACGATGCTTGGAGAGGACTGGTGCGTCGACGGAGGTCTGGTGCGTGGAGTGTGGTGTTACAGTGATGGACATCGCTGGTGTAAGGAGAACCTTGTGGTCTTACTGTCGTTAAGGGACCACGTGATCCCTCCCCTGGCTGGCTGGATCTCTGGCTGTAGGAGTCTACTGAATTAAGGATGCAAATACCTTCCGGTACATCATTGGTAAAAACTTGCATCCCGCAATTGATCGATCTCTCTTAACTGAGAGAATATGTTAAGACAAATATATGATGGATACACTAGCAGGCGAGAGTAGCACCTGCCTAGCATGATACACTAGCAGGCGAGAGTAGCACCTGCCTAGCATGATACACTAGCAGGCGACAGTAGCACCTGCCTAGCATGATACACTAGCAGGCGACAGTAGCACCTGCCTAGCATGATACACTAGCAGGCGACAGTAGCACCTGCCTAGCATGATACACTAGCAGGCGACAGTAGCACCTGCCTAGCATGATACACTAGCAGGCGACAGTAGCACCTGCCTAGCATGATACACTAGCAGGGCCCCAGTAGCCCCCTGCCTAGCATGATACACTAGCAGGCGACAGTAGCACCTGCCTAGCATGATACACTAGCAGGCGACAGTAGCACCTGCCTAGCATGATACACTAGCAGGCGACAGTAGCACCTGCCTAGCATGATACACTAGCAGGCGACAGTAGCACCTGCCTAGCATGATACACTAGCAGGCCACAGTAGCACCTGCCTAGCATGATACACTAGCAGGCGACAGTAGCACCTGCCTAGCATGATACACTAGCAGGCGACAGTAGCAAACCCGCCTAGCATGATACACTAGCAGGCCACAGTAGCACCTGCCTAGCATGATACACTAGCAGGCGACAGTAGCACCTGCCTAGCATGATACACTAGCAGGCGACAGTAGCACCTGCCTAGCATGATACACTAGCAGGCGACAGTAGCACCTGCCTAGCATGATACACTAGCAGGCGACAGTAAACAAACCCGCCTAGCATGATACACTAGCAGGCGACAGTAGCACCTGCCTAGCATGATACACTAGCAGGCGACAGTAGCACCTGCCTAGCATGATACACTAGCAGGCGACAGTAGCACCTGCCTAGCATGATACACTAGCAGGCGACAGTAGCACCTGCCTAGCATGATACACTAGCAGGTGACTAGCACCTGCCTAGCATGATACACTAGCAGGCGACAGTAGCACCTGCCTAGCATGATAAAACTAGCAGGCGACAGTAGCACCTGCCTAGCATGATACACTAGCAGGCGACAGTAGCACCTGCCTAGCATGATACACTAGCAGGCGACAGTAGCACCTGCCTAGCATGATACACTAGCAGGCGACAGTAGCACCTACCTGGAGGTTATTCCGGGGATCAACGCCCCCGCGGCCCGGTCCATGACCAGGCCTCCCGATGGATCAAGGCCTGATCAACTAGGCTGTTACTGCTGGTCGCACGCAGTCCAACGTACGAGCCACAGCCCGGCTGATCCGGCACTGACTTTAGGTATCTGTCCAGCTCTCGAAGGCAGCCAGCGGTTTATTGGCAATTCCCCTAATGCTTGATGGGAGGCTGTTGAACAGTTTTGGGCCCCGGATACTTATGGTGTTTTCCCTTAGTGTACCAATGGCGCCCCTACTTTTTATTGGGGGCATTTTGCATCGCTTGCCCAGTCTTTTACTTTTTGTAGGGGTGATTTCTGTGTGGAGATTTGGGACCTTCCTTCCAAGATTTTCCAAGTGTAGATTATGATATATCTCTCCCTCCTGCGTTCCAACGAGTACAAGTCAAGTGCTTCCAAGCGTTCCCAGTAGTTAAGGTGCTTGACAGAACTTATACGTGCAGTAAAGGATCTCTGTACACTCTCTAGATCTGCGATTTCACCTGCTTTGAATGGAGATGTTAATGTACAGCAGTATTCCAGCCTAGAGAGAACAAGTGATTTGAAAAGGATCATCATGGGCTTGGCATCTCTCGTTTTGAAAGTTCTCATTATCCATCCTATCATTTTCTTTGCACGTGCGATCGTGGCACTTGTGTGATCCTTGAAAGTGAGATCCTTAGACATTACTACTCCCAGGTCCCTTACATTATTTTTTCCGCTCTATTGTATGGCCGGAGTCAGTAGTATACTCTGTTCTAGTTATTATCTCCTCCAGTTTTCCATAACGTAGTTGGAATTTGTCCTCATTGAACATCATATTGTTTACAGTTGCCCACTGGAAAACTTTGTATCTTCTTGGAGGTTAACCGCGTCCTCAGCAGATGACAGCCTCATGCAGATCCTAGTATCATCCGCAAAGGATGATACGGTGCTGTGGTGTATATCTCTGTTTATGTCTGATATGAGGATAAGGAATAAGATGGGGGCGAGTACTGTGCCTTGTGGAACAGAGCTCTTCACTATGGCAGCCTCCGATTTAACTCTGTTGACCACTACTCTTTGTGTTCGATTTGTTAGGAAGTTGAAGATCCATCTCCCCACTTTCCCAGTTATTCCTTTAGCACGTACTTTATGGGCTATTACGCCATGATCGCATTTGTCAAATGCTTTTGCAAAGTCTGTGTATATTACATCTGCATTCTGATTTTCTTCCAGTGCATCCAAGGCCATGTCATAGTGATCCAGTAGTTGTGAGAGGCAGGAGCGACCTGCCCTGAGCCCATGTTGCCCTGGATTGTGCAGATTTTGGGAATCCAGGTTATTTGCAATCCTGCTTCTTAGCACTCTTTCAAAGATTTTTATGATGTGGGACGTCAGAGCTATTGTCTATAGTTCTTAGCTAATGCTTTGCTGCCACCTTTATGGAGTGGGGCTATATCCGTTGTTTTAAGTGACTGGAATTTCACCCATGTCCAAGCTCCTCCTCCATAGTGTACTTAGGGCACGCGAGAGGGGTTTCTTGCAGTTCTTAATGAAAACA